GGATTCACACCTAATGGGATGGAGGTCGGTAACTGGATTCTAATGCACTTCTCTCATGGTCTGAAGGTCTTAGGATGGACTCTGATTGGCGTCACAAAAGGAGGAAGAAACAACTGAGTGTCGGTCTTCAGTTGTCAGGGGAATACTAACTAAAATCAGTCCGAATCCCTAGAAATTCAAAAGTGAAGACTATTTTGTGTTTATTTACTTTACAATGTAGGCATATTCGTGAATTACAAGATATTAATTCATTAATGCAGTATCTTAAATCATTCATTCAGATGACACAAATGAACTCTTATTTTATATGACATTCGTTGTTCATGTTTTGAAGCTACGCTAAGCATGAGAAATTTCTGTCTGATTTCTTTGAAAAATATTCATTCACATTTAGTTATACAAAGATGGATGACAAGCCTTCTACACAAACAAGATGCATTTTGACAAATCGTAACATTCAAAACAACAGTTACAATATTCCAGGAAGAATGTTAAAATCCTTCAATTATGAATAATAAAAAAACGGTAAGGTGTGCATTCTAATAATAATAATAATAATAATGTTTTTTTTCATTTCATAGCCTAAAAGCAGTTTCCAAAATCTGCTCTCGCTTTAATTTCGGAACTTGAATAAAACACAATCCAATAAGTTAAACTGAGATGCATAATGAAGCATAATGGGCAGAGTGAGAGACAAATAAAATAAGAGAGAGGATGGATGATACACTGTTAACACTTATTGTTAGAAGAAAGACTGAGTTGGAGACTTTCATGCTGTGGGACATAATTATTGCCTTGACGGACAATCCTAGTATCGTTTTGGTATTTATACACCTATTCAACTACAACACAATTTACATTTTTATGTCAAATCGTGTTGATTAATTTACTTATTATTATGTGTTATAATACGTCGTTATTAAGTGAATAACATGTACTTAGAGTAATCCACTGATAAGTGACATGCACACAGAATGAACTCATTAAGTTCTGCTTTCTTAACGTCTGTTTCTTGTTTTTAATTCGATCGAATAGAGAAATAATTATTTCTAATATCTCCTAACTAGATGATGGTGACAACAAAAACTTAATATGCTGTATTGTCAACAAGTTAAATTCCAGGAGAAAACGTCTATACACAACGTGAAATTAATGTCAACAAGTAAAGTAGCCAAACTGTGGAATCGTCGAGAAACAAGATCGGTTACCGTCTAGCGACCAGTCGACATACTGAACAATGCAAACATGATTTCGTTAGAAATCATTCTCATCTATTTATTTATTTATTTACTTATTTAACTACGACGACACATAGTGCGAGCAACTTAGTTGCGTCTACTTCTATTCACATGGTCATTTGTTCACTCGTAACATAAGGCGTGTTTCTAAGTTATTCAAAGACGACGTATTATCAATGAGATCGAATTCACATTCACTTTTCACCATGGTTTCGAATACTTTAACCAACACATCTCATGTTACAAGATTTCATCATCAACTGACGTCGGTTACAGAAGCATTGAAGAAGATGACAGTATTGGACAGCTGTCTCGTCCTACTTTGACACTCTGTAGTGGTACGCACCAGCCACCAGGATTCGGATCCAAGACATTCACTCTATCGAATTATTTATTGGCATTTGACCAATAAATAAATAAATAAATAAATAGAGAGACTCTCAGATAGACAGATAGATAGACGGATTGGCCAACGTGGAACGCTCTCTACCAACTGACGATTTCATCTCGAATTATCAAAATGGGTGTAAAAACTGGTGTGATTGTAAAGACCATGATGGGCAAATACACCAGTCATCTGTCGTACACTCAGATTCCTGCTCAAATGACTTGAAAAGAAATTAGACAGTCACCTACTCAATTCAACTGAATAAATAAAGAAAGAAACAAGTGAATACACAGTGTAAGACAGGATATACTCCCCCATAGCTACATTTTCATCCGTGACATCTAATCGCCGTCAAGATAATGATGCTTGGATGGTAGGTGATTCAGGGAATTCGGAAAATAAAAACAAAAACAATTTAAGTGAAGCCGACATTTTACTCAGTTATTCACATGAAACAAATGAGAGGTCAGGTTGGATGTGCAGCTAGAAACTACACCAAGGAAGCCAGTCAGTCCACCGATAATGATGATGAAAGCAAAAGTAAGCGTAAGAACAGAGAATGTACGTACCATGAATCGATCTCGTTGACGTGGCTGTCAAGACTTAACAAGATGTGAGTAGATAACAATAAGCGTATATCCTAGGTCCACAGCTTGTTCCCAATCGCCTCCAACAACCGAAAATGAGGCCGAACAAACAGTAACTGATTGAAAATTGAAAAAACAACATTTTTATCATAAACCAAATAATTTATATATATATTTTTTCTTGATTTGACGTTGGAAACAAAAGTGTACATAAACACAAAGTGGGAAGTAAATATAGTGAGTGAAAGAAAACATTTGAATATATATCAATATTTCTCCTTGTGTCTGTGTGTGTTCACTCGCGTTATCATATATATCTCCATTATATCCTTTCCTTTATTCTCACGTATCACAACGTGTCACAACGACTGTATGTCGCATTATCATTCAGTTGCATTGAAAATAATTGTCTCTTAATCAGAATTCTTTACTCATGTTTAAATTATTAATAGCTGGTCCAGCGATCGATCCACAGTTGCCCACTCCTGAACCACCTCGCCCCGTTAAAACAATGAACCACTGCCACTGAACCACTTCGAAATTCAAGCTCAAAGTCCTATCTTCCACTCTTAACGCAAAGGAATAAAGTTAAATAGAAACTAAGTATCATCAAGTGTTTGAACTGTGAATTACAAGTTATGCGTAGATTAATTATTCAGAAATGATAAACATCACAATGCCTAATATAATTTAGTCTAAATTGACGTTTCCATGAGAAACGATACTAGGATTGTCCGTCAAGGCAATAATTATGTCCCACAGCATGAAAGTCTCCAACTCAGTCTTTCTTCTAACAATAAGTGTTAACAGTGTATCATCCATCCTCTCTCTTATTTTATTTGTCTCTCTCTCTGCCCATTATGCATCATTATGCATCTCAGTTTAACTTATTGGATTGTGTTTTATTCAAGTTCCGAAATTAAAGCGAGAGCAGATTTTGGAAACTGCTTTTAGGCTATGAAATGAATAATTGTCATTATTATTATTATTATTATTATTAGAATGCACACCTTACCGTTTTTTTATTATTCATAATTGAAGGATTTTAACATTCTTCCTGGAATATTGTAACTGTTGTTTTGAATGTTACGATTTGTCAAAATGCTTCTTGTTTGTGTAGAAGGCTTGTCATCCATCTTTGTATAACTAAATGTGAATGAATATTTTTCAAAGAAATCAGACAGAAATTTCTCATGCTTAGCGTAGCTTCAAAACATGAACAACGAATGTCATATAAAATAAGAGTTCATTTGTGTCATCTGAATGAATGATTTAAGATACTGCATTAATGAATTAATATCTTGTAATTCACGAATATGCCTACATTGTAAAGTAAATAAACACAAAATAGTCTTCACTTTTGAATTTCTAGGGATTCGGACTGATTTTAGTTAGTATTCCCCTGACAACTGAAGACCGACACTCAGTTGTTTCTTCCTCCTTTTGTGACGCCAATCAGAGTCCATCCTAAGACCTTCAGACCATGAGAGAAGTGCATTAGAATCCAGTTACCGACCTCCATCCCATTAGGTGTGAATCCCAACTACCGTAAATTCGAGATACGACTCAATTCAAACTAATGTCGTTGAAGAGTACCTATCCTCAAAATTACTTACGTGTATCTCAGAAGTCATCACCTATGTTAAGATTTCCCATTACAATCCAGTCACCACAGTACAATGAAAAAACGTCTCGATATTCACTCATCAATCTCGTGACAGCCACATCAACTAGAAATCGAAATTTCACAAATCCAACAATTTATCCCGGGTCGGGTTTTCAGTGGTCTTATGAGGTGTCATTGGTTTCGGAGTTCACTGTGTCATATTCGCGGACAAACAGACACTGGTGACTATAGATAACGACAGGTGAATTCCCCAGTTATTAAGGAAATCAAGTATACTTTATATGCATATACATATGGATGAGATGGACAGAGAGCATTGGATAGATTTTGTTTGTCCCTGCTGGCTTCCGTGCACCCATGAGCAAAACAGCTTACGATGTCAGCCCATTGGCTATCCAGCCATCCGGCTGTACTCCAATGATCCGTGAATTCTAACTTCTCTCCAACCACGAATTAGCTTCCATACCACTCACGAGTATCTATTCCACAAATCACGACTTCTAAGTGGAACTCCACGAAGACCATCTCAAAGTCACAAATCAATAGTGGAATAATTTTCTAGTGACTACTGGCCACAGGATATACTTCCTGGAGTTTCAGTGAGAAGTCGTGACCAGTGTCTGGTGCTCCCTGATTTTCAGTGGATCTATAAATCCTGTCAGCTCGCATAGTAACCTACCTTGACACAAATCAAATCCCTACACACCACACAGTTACTTCAGAAACATCTGTAATACTCGGTCTGTCAAAACCCCATAAAAGTCACTAAACTCTCATAGTCAAATGACTAAGCATCAATACTCAATATATATGTATATCCGGTAATTTACTATGAAGCATAAAGATACAAACTAACAAACTGAAAGTAAAAATAACTTGTTTTCAAAATACACTGCAACTAGAAGACATACATTTCATTTGTTTGTATATTGAGGCTTCGATTGAAATCGTCATATCCTTTCCATATTCTATTGTTATCGGTTACAATACTGTCAGATTTCAATTGCCATTCTGCACTGGATTCATAACTCATTAAACGCAGACCATCCTTCTCATGGCTGTAGAATTATTACCCCGGAGATTATGATGATCCATTGGGCAGAAAACCCACTGAGAATACGATCAGCGTTTGGAAATAATAGAGAATATTTGTAGCTCACGTGGATGATTTGCAACTAGTTGTGTTCTCTGAGGCGGTTGTTTTAATCGTGGAGCTTTCGTCGTCCTGCTGGAAAACATCTTCAGGAGAACTAACACAGGAAATTTAGAAATACAACTATATAGAAAATCAACGCGCATAGACTAAATACTCAGCTACATTAGCAATGACCCAATCACCTACAAAAGAAACTGTCTGTAGACATTGTTTAAAAGAGTTGAAACAAACTGCAGCACTCTAGTGTTGAGGAGAGAGAATCCACGACAAATACCCACCTACCGTCTTCAAAAATAATGGACATCCTCACAATTTCATCAGAAGTGTTTAAAGTCGAGTCACAACACCAACAAGAAACAATCATCAAGGAACACAAGAAAATTCATCCTGCCATATATAAAAAATATCTCTGAAATACTAGCTAGAATATTGTAACCGTTTGAAGTAGATATAGCACACAAGTCAGCCAGCGCGATCACTTTGTTTGATATTGTGGAAACCGAAAGATCCAACAGAAAAAGAAGATAAAACTAATACCATCAAGAAAATAAATTGTATGTATGAATGTAACAGACATTACATCGGCCAAAGTGGGTGTCCCCTTCGAATCAGAATCCAGGAACATGATATGCATATTCTTCCATATCAATGCATGTAGATAATTATGGACATTAATTTTATTGGAATAATGTCGAAATTCTATACAGAGGAAATACCAAAAATGCCAGAGAATTCCTAGAAGCCCGGTACCCAAGCGAATACGCAATTAACAAACATGCTAACATAGACCAAATCTACCAAGTAATAAAGAGTAAATCATGTGACGAGAAAGTTCAAAATCCAAGTCAATAGAAATGATCAAAACAGATATAAGTCGACTGGCAGTCATGAAGATAGTCACCAGCAGGAGACACAATCCTGTCATTCACAGAGAATTGAAATCAGTTGATTTCATGCTAAAGCTTGCGCTGAAAGGGGGGCATGTTGTCCAGAAGGAGGAAGAAAGCTCCCCAATTGAACCAACAAGCTCAGAGAACATAAATAATTGCAGATCCATAGTTTCATGCTTGAATCGACTTAGTATTTGACAACGATTCCTTGTGACTGTTGCTTCATCTTTGTGTCACTTAATTTATTTATCTGTGATATCATGGTGACTGTTTTCCAACAAGAATGAGTGGGAAACCATAGTAACTGATTCAAAATAGAAAAAACAACATTTTTATCATTTCTTTCCTTCACGTTCCCCAGTGGAACATAGGGCTTCAAGCTAGTGGCTAGAAGTTTCTGTAGCAGTGTTCAGTGTTACAGGATGGGGTTGCTAGCCTCATTCCCAACCTTTCCTCTTTACCAGCATTACTTCTGGCTTAGCGAGGTAAGGGAGTGAGTCGGTGGTCGCCAATCGAACTTCGGACCATGTGCATGGTCGGAGAGCGTCCTAACCGCTATGACACTGACGCACACACTTTTGTCATAAACCAAACAATTTATTTTTATGTTTTGTTGATTTGACGTTGGAAACAAAAGTGTACATAAACACAATGTGGGAAGTAAACGTTTTAACACTTTCAAATCGACATGTTAGATAGAAGATGATGACTAAGCGTTAAAAATAATCAATACTTGCTTATAATATGAATAAACAGTGTGTATACAGCAATGTGGAGTAGATAAACAGGCTAATGAAAAAGTACATTGATTTAATTTCTCCTTATGATCTCATAGCGGACATTCACGCACGCACGCACACACACACACAAACATACATAGAAAGAGGCATACACGCACACATCAATGCAACATGGATAAATACTACACACATACAAGAATGCATACAAGACGCTCACTAGAAAAAGTAGTTTAAACACTGGAGAGTAGAAAAAACAGTTATTGGACAACACACTCTACGCACACACACACACACACACACAAACATACAAACTGGCATACACGCACACACTGCGAAATAACAACAGCTATCTTAGTGATCTGCAGTACGCTGATTTATATCTTGCCATGGTTTAAATCAACAGGCCAACTTCAGTCATCACCTATGACATTTATACCTGTCTGTCATTCCAAGGTTATTTTACATACTCTCATCAAGGCACAGATCCACTGTGAAGACAATTCATAGTATCAATTAATGTTCTCCTCTGCACTTTTCACTAGCCAGTCACTCCAGTCATACTGAATTCATCGTCAGTGAAAACTAAGCATTTCTACACACACAGTTATACATGAAAGGAAATGTTTTATAGAGAAAAATGTTCACTGACTAGCCTCAGCGTTGTTCATTACAGAGGATGTTTTGAAAGTATAGGTGTCCGGAAAATTATAAATAAAAACAGGAGTTAGGTTTTACAGAGCAAGTTGTGAAGTCTTGTCAACTCACTGATACGATGATAGGCGATAAATTCTTCTCGAGACACCATTCAGCCATTAGCACTGTATCACATTCTGTGATATCAAATCAGCTAATCAAACATGGAATCAATCATATTCTGCAGTTTCTGCATTCTCTCTCCCTACATACATCTCGTTAAATTTCCGTCCTCAAATGGTTGTTTCGTGGTTTTTTTGTGGATAGTTGATAAATGTGGAGGCGCCGAGGTTGGGATTCGCGAATTTCCAGTTACTAGTCAGTCTAGAAGACCATTGAGCCACCGTGGTACGTCAGTGGTTCAGAAGTAGGCGGCTGACCAATCTAGTAAACGGCACGGGTTTTGTACACAGCTGATGCACTCCTTCAACTCACTCAGCCTGTAGAAATCCCTGTAAAGAGGGAAGGTTAGGAGTGAGGCTAGCAACCACCATCCCGTAGAAATAAAACCACTCCTAATGAAACTTCAATGCTCTAGCCTGAAGTCAGCACTATGTTCCACTGGGTACACAAAGCAACGAAGGACGACTACTACTTGTAATAATAAAAATGATGATGATGATGATGATAATTTAGTAAAATCTACTCAAAAATGAATACACTTCACTATTGTTGTGAGATCTAGTTGTCATTGTGCTTCTTTTCATTTCAACTGAATAATATCATGATGAGTCAGTAAAACGTAGTCGTAATATTTTCTGGATTATTTAATGGACTTGTGAAACATGTAATTTGCAAATATGCCTACAAGATCTGACTGACTCACCTATTTGAAAATCTTTCTACCTCTTTGTATTGATTGTTCGACTTGAAAATATCATTCGGCCATAATTTATCTGAATTTAGTTGATAGCTCTCTGAATTTAAAGATTTCAAAGCATAAATGCTATTGTCGATTGCTTTTGTTGTAGTGTAAAGGACAAATAAATAAATAAATAAATAAATATTTCAATGTACAATATACAATCAGTATGAGTAAGTAAACAATTCTGACTAATCATGCCTATACAATGATACGAGTTTCGAAATAATTCGGCCTTTGATGCATATACTAATTATTTGTTTCAAATCTCACCTAATTTACTGACCAGTCCTTAAACCATAAATCAAGAAACAATCGTCATGAAAGACACCCGCCCCCAATCTCCTCAGGAGAAATCCGAAGCACAGGAAAAATAAACTTATTGTTTCCCGAAATCAGGAAGACGTGACAATCCCACGATGGATGTAACAGTGTGTGAAAGAGTCCAGGAAGCCAGTTGACCAATAATTGTTCTCACCACGAAAGCAAAATTAGGCTGAGGTACAGACAACATCCACACCGTGTTTCAGGTTAGCTGACGACGTTAGCTGATCAGATGTACAAGAAATGAGATTCTCCGATAATATATAACTAACACCGTCCTCCTAGTCTCATGTATAGAATTCATTTCTCAGTTATTGCATGTTATTTCGTAAACTACATTATTCTTCCTAATTCGATCTATTGGGTCTCTGAGCCGATAAAATTTGTCTCCACTTTGAATGTCACGTTGTCTTCAGCCTTATCGAGAATCCTACTTAGGACTTATTAATAATCATAATAATAATAAGATTTTTGTCATGTAATGCCCCTTCTAATTTGTGGTAACTTTTCAAAGAAATTACTAGCGGTAAGCGATATACTTCTGTCCCATCTCTTAATGTCGACACTCCTAATAAGTCTCTCATACCCTCTTCTGTCAATATTCCTCCTAATGATACAAATCATATTGACAATAATTGTAGTGGTTTTCATACCCTTGATGTGCTTAAATGTCTCCGGTCTCTTAAGCCTTCCCAAAGCCTTGGTCATGATGGCGTAACTGCCATTGTCCTCAGGAACTGTGCTGATATTTTGTGTTACTCTCTTACTAACATTTTTAATGCTTCCTTTTCCGGTAACGTTCTACATTTTGCGTGGAAAACATTGAAATTATCCCCATACCAAACCCATCCTCTGGTACTGATATAAAATTTCGGACTACTGCAATTACTTCTCCTTTTTTAAAATTGATGGAAAAATAATAATATAACAATGATAGTAATAAATATACTCTTACTTCGTCTTGAACCTTCATTGAAACCTTTGAATGATCCTAAACAATTCGCATACAAACATGGTAGAAGTACGTTGGATTCTGCGGTTGTCTTATACCACAATGTTGTTTCTTGTTTAGACAAAGGTGCCAAATATGTTCGTAGTGCTTTCTTAGACTACACATCTACTTTTGACTGTGTACCTAGGGGCCTTTTACTAAATAAGCTATCGTTGACACAAACAGGATCCTGGGCTAAGAGTTGGTTGCATTCTTATTTTTCTGATAGAATGCAGTATACTGTATATAATGGCAAATCTTCTTCTACCTCGCTTACAAAATCCGGTGTTCCATAAGGTGCTGTCCTCTCTCCTTTTCTTTTCTCTTTCTTCCTACACGACCTGCCTCATTCAAACGAAACTTACTTTGTCAAATATCCAGACGATCTGACTGTATCACTGCCTATCACTTCCGAATCAGATTGCTCCAAACTTAATAGTAATAATAATAGGTATTCTTAAAGACGCATTCATGCATTATGCAAAACTCTCAGTATATTCTATTGTAAAGAATATACTCCCTGTGTAGAATCTTCACTTGTAATAATTAATAATCTGTCATATACCACTTAAAGGTATATGGCTCTGTCCAAAGCACGCTGTAATAACCTCCTTCGCCTTTTCTCCATTCCCTTGAAAATATGCATACTGATTGGCTGAAACCCATTTGAAAGGAGGCGTAATTGCAGATTGTGATTCAATGATGTAATTGAATCATTTGAAAAAACGTGAAAGAGTGAATGAAATGCATTTTGATGGGTGGAGCGTAATGATAGGTAGCTTATTGGTTTAAGCACTGTTCATTATTTTACAGTAAAAATTATAATTTCCAAGAGATAGGGGGGTCTGGAAAACTCCGTGTCAATAACTACCACAACTATCTCTCTGAGTGAAGAATAATCTTCCTTTAAAACAATTAGTTCCCTTTATGAATTTAGACAAAGCAATACGAAGATGTAATTTGTCTGAATTGTGTAGTGTATTTACTGAAGACGTTTCAACGAATTCTCTTCAGACTCTTGCAGTTGTAAAGTAAAATGTCTGTTGTCATAATAATACAGCACCTTAGTTGTAGTGGAGAAAGTACGCTTCGTCCAAACCAACTTTGAATTCATGATCTGATGATATTTCAGACCCTGAAATCAAATGAAAAATGAAGAATCGCGTAGTATTTCAGGCTTCCGTATTCGTACTAGAATAATGTTTAGACTTGGCTTTATAGGTCGAACCGATCTGAAATAACTTATGACATTAGATTGTTGAAAGCAGTCGACTGGAAGACGTTAGATGAAATCAAAGTGAAATCTGATGGTGGTGGTGGACTTTCTTAGTAGCTTTATTATTGCAAAGGTGACTGTTGGAATTCAGTCAGCGTGTATCTGGGAGTTCGCTGATAGCCACCACCACCACCAACAACAACAACACAACAACAACCAAATACGTTTCATGAAGTGTTCATCAAATTGTAAAGAAGTGTTAAAGAAATTGATTGATTAATGAATGAATTAATTAAAGCAGACATACTACAAACAAAATTCTACTCCTCTTTTCTGTTTTCCTTTTTTTGAATTATAAAGGAGATCAATCCGATAAAATGTCGAATCGCGTCACATTGAAAATTGATGTATCACATACTGACCACAGTCATGTAATTGGTCATCGTGGTGATGATATTAAAAGAGTTACGAGAGACACACAATGTCACATACATTTTCCGGATTGTAATCGGGACGAGTTTGCTGCTAAGAGTAATCAAGTATCCATATCTGGCCAATTAGAGAATGTCGAAAAGGGTAGAAGAAATATAAGAGTAAGTTTGGTTATATACATATGTTCGTGTATATATATTATATATATATATATATTGTTGCGAACCTTATCGAATGAGCCAACTGATTTGTTGTTCTATCCAGTGACGACAATGAGAGTGACAACAAACAGGTACGAAAATTACCCAGTTATGCCTTAATGTCCAATCGCCATCTCATTGATTACACTTATGCATGTCTCATTCTCAACCTATTGGTTGGTTATTTCTGAAAATGACGAGTTTTGTACTCTTATATCAATAGACTCGTCTGCGTGTTTAGAAAGTGTTAATGAGTTCTAGATCACGTGTCATAAGAAAATATCGATTGCACTCCTTGTTCTTGCTTTTAAGGCTCCTATAATTCATTGAAATTCCAGTATTCCAATATTCAGTGCTAGAACTTCCTACTATTTCAATAGAAAAATTAGTATGGCTAAGATATTTGCTGTGGTTTGCATTTATCGTCTAATTTCATATAAAATGACAAAACCTTGATCACAAGGCAGTTATGCTAAGTTGTGTGGTGATTGTATTCGCCTGTCGGTCTATCACCATCTGCATCTAATACTGTAAAAAGGTGCATAAAATTGGCATAATCACTACGTCGAATAGAAAGAAGTCAAAGCACTTTTTTAACAGGTGATTTTTTCATCGCTTGACGAAGTAGCTGATTAGTAGAGATGACGACGTCATTGTGGTTTCAGTCTTTGAATTATTCGAATTTTCAAATTTAGCCATTACCTATTCTGTACAAAAGTGGTTGGAGAGAAGTACTGTTAAATGGAGATCTTTGTACTACTTTCTGTTTTGCTAGTAGCCGCTATCTTAGAGTGATTCGCTATCCAATAGTCTGTGTTTCTCGATTTCACTACGTTTGCCTTGTAGTAATAGACAGTCGTTTAGTTTTATTGACACCTTCGATTTTCTGTGGATTATTTTGCTGAACCATGTTGAATAACCTCAATAACTATATGAGCTCCTCCTAACACAGAAGCTTATATATTACCTGTTTTACCATAACATGTTGAATTTTGGTGAGGGTTGGCACTGTGAATAATTGAGTAATAAAAATAATAAAACTAGTAGTAGCTTTATTCTGAGCATTATATTTATATATGGCACCAAATATTCAGTGTGTTTTGTTGACTGGTTGTACAAATTCCTCGAGTAAAAGTGACTGACAGTATCTCGTTTGATGGAGTATTGTTCAATCTGAAAGAAACAGATTCGTCGCTTCATAATAGACGTAGCTTTATATCGAAAGCCGTGCATAAATGCACATGAGTACAGATTGTTCTTCAGTGATGAAGTTCGATGGTTAAAATGAAGTGAAATCGAGCGTACTTGACGCATTTCGCTCTGTGGAAAATTAGGTGTTCCAGTGATTGAAGCAGGCTACCAGTGCAGGCTGAAAGGTAGAGTTGTTCCCATTGGGACAGAAACTTATAAGTGCGCCATAATCTTATCCATTGGTGTGCTTAGTTGTAGGACACACGGACTGTATTTTAATAAAGATCAATAAATATCCATAAGGAGCCATATAAAAAATAAGAATCCAGAGGGACTGTTAAATGACAACCACGACATGTTACGCAGGACACAACTCATTAGTAGCACTAGTAGCCTGCCGCACAATGTCTTACTGGGGAATAATAATATTAATAATAATCACTGGAATAGACAACGTAGTAGTGGAAAAAGGGGAAAAATTGCAAGTTTTGCCTTCCACATCCAATCATCGTTGAGTAGAATAATGACCATTCTCGTTTTACACCGAAGTGATTCTGGTTGATATTCTTTGTTGGTCATGTATTTCGAAAGAGATTTCATGAAATACCAAAAAGGACAGTTTGATTCGGGACATCACTTAATTCTTTCGAATGTTCATCAATGCAAAATAACTAACTAACTAACTTTTCAGTAATTGTAAATTCCGAATTGTTGTTGTTTTCAACATACTAATTGATTAATTA